ATTTAAAATAATTACATATAGATTATAGATATATATCCTCTATATATATATATATATATTAATATAAATAATAATAATAATAATAATAATAATAAAATATATTATATTAATAGATTGATTTTGACATTTTATGTTTTTAGTGATTTGTCAAGTTCCAATGCATTCAGGGATGTGATTAGTACTCTCCTTAACAAATTGTGAAAATAATATATGTTTTGAAAATAAATGGTATAGGATAAGTTTTTTATGATTAAAATAATTAGATTTAAGAATCAATGATAATTAAAATTGTATAAATTTTGTTAATATTATTTTATTATAATTGTAACATAAAAATATATCAAAATCAGTATTCATCAATAAAATCAACCAATTACTTGCTACAGAGATAATCGGGCCTTTACTTGTTTATAAAGTTTACTTTTATTGTTAGGTTTTAAAGTAGAATTAAAAGATTATTTCCTAAAATATAAATAAACTCAAAATTGCTTCCATTTTTGATGAAATTTTCCATGTATGTTTGTACGATGAAATCATTTTTATACAGCTTGCAAAACACGTATTTGGTGCCTCAAAAATTGCAGCCACATCAAGTACAGGAAAACTCGAGTTGCTGAAGAGTTTGGGCGTTGATTTAGCCATTGATTACACTAAGGAGAACTTTGAAGAGTTACCTGATAAATACGATGTTGTCTATGATGCAGTAGGTAAGATTTGGGCTACATAAGGTTTATAAATTACAAGAGATACCCCTCTAAAAAAATCAGAAAAGATATGTGCCAAGTACTACTAGTTAGTCAGTTACCATCAATCAAACTCATCATTTTCTTGCGCTTAGCACGCTACAAAAAATGCATCGAGTTATCGCAAAAATGATGTCTTTATTGAAGGAGTTTAATATCAAATACCCCTCACGACAACATGATAATATAATAATTAGATATGGCGTAAAACATTTATGGAAAAGTTTGATGGTTGTCATGGATTTGTTCTTAAATTATGTATGTACATTTAGTTTCTTGATGTATACATGATGATGTTGCAGGACAAGTGGAGAAAGCAGTAAAGGTCGTTAATGGAAGTGGTTGTGTGGTGTCCATAACCGCTGCTATTCCATCACAAGGTTTCAGCTTCGTTCTCACGTCTAATGGATCTGTTTTGACTAAACTAAACCCTTATTTGGAAAGTGGAAAGGTGAAGCCAGTGCTCGACCCTAAAACCCCATTCCCTTTTGACAAAGTTAACGAAGCTTTCACTTACCTTGAGAGCAATAGGGTCACAGGGAAATTAGTTATATACCCGATACCTTGAGGTCTGATGTCCAATACTTCCTTTCGCATATAATCAATAAGTAGTGTGGCTTACTCAGAGCTCTTGGCTCAAAAATGGGCAATTTGTTTGATTGCAATAAAAGTTGTAGAAACATATAGGACTTTAATATCCTATCCAAATAAACGTTGTAAAGATAATCTTTAAAAATTATAATTCATACAAACAGGTTATGACATAATCGAGATAAGCTCAGGACAAGATGGAACTGTTGAACCTAAATCAAGCATATTTTTTTAACAATAAGATTGGTTTAAATTCGAACAATGACTGAAACTTTTAAGGTTTGGTCTAAAAATTATTTAAGGGATTGTTTGGTTGGTTTTTCATTAAGTCTTGTATGGATAAAGTTGTCTATGTGAATTCATACGTCTGTATGGATTAAGACGATTTTTATTTGGGAAAGTTTCTTAATAAATGATGTTTTTTAATTGGAAGAGAGGTGTAAAAAAATTTCGTTTTTTTTTTTTTTTTTTTTTGTATAAATCTCTCTTAGGAAGCTTATTGAATAAGACATTTTCAATATCATTAAACTATTATCAAACATTTATTTATATATAACTGACTAAATAAACTATAAATCCAATTAAACTATTACAAAAGAGGCCCTAAGCTTTGTCCTTATCATATAATTAGGAAATATGTATTTTAATTTAATGTGAATAAAATTACAATAATTACATACGTGTGATGATATAATGAACGTAGTCTCGATAATTGGCGTTGTTCAATGTTGGCTTACATGCCATTCTATATCTAGTCATGTGATTCACGTTTCCCATTCTATTCAAACTTTTGACCTTATTACAATATAGTTCTTCTACTTCTTATTCTATAATATATATTTGTAATGGGTTGGATTTTGAGAATTTATAGTGAAAAGGGTAATAAGAGGTCTCCACTGTTAGATCAATTATAATTGAAGATCAAATACTAATGTGATATATCAAGATGTATCCGATCAATTTTCGTATCAAATGCAATTAATGGGATGGGGGTGAGATTAAAAAGTGATCAAAGATTCAGATTCTTTCGTGCACATCTCATATTAACTACTATTCTCACATTATTCTTCATCTAGTTTTAATTATCAAGTTATTTTTATTTATATATAAGTAAAAATATATATAAAAATACGATTACCGTTCTATCTATTCTACGGCCTACACTTTTACGCCATCTTTTTTTTTTCTTTTGGTTTTCAAACAAAAATATTCTAAACTTTTTAGTCCACTGTTATCTCTGTTAAACTACGTTGATTAATCTAGAGTAATTATATTTCTTTGGAGAATCACCAAAATAAAATGTAAGAGTTTGTTGGTAATAAAATATAAGATCTAACCAAAGGGTTTTTGGCATAGTAGTATATGAGTCCTTAGTTTCCTAAGAAGTCTAGGGTTCAAAACTTACTAAAGGTGATGAGGGTATGTGAATTTATTTGTTCTATTTGTCATATATAAATATTATATATACTTCAAAAAATATATATAAAATCTATCATTCACAAGCCAAAAATGTTTAAATTAGTCATTGCCATTAAATTAGATGTAATTGTTTTTAGTTTATACTTGTACTTAGTGTTATATAATAAAATTGAAAAAAAGTATGAATAATTAGTTAAAATATTGGATTGGTGGGTTGAAAATTGAATTAAAATATTAGGTAGATATAATCCGATAAAATGGATAACCAATAGTAGCATCTAATGAATTAAACCGATTCAATCTACTATCCATCAGATTATATTGGACCGGTTATCCAATGTTAATTGGATTGTTTCAAATAATAAAATCAAACAATCAATAGTTGATTGGATCAGATCT